ACAGACAGAATGAGAGAGAGAGAAAGAAAGAAAGAAAGAAAGAAAGAAAGAAAGAAAGAAAGAAAGAAAGAAAGAAAGAAAGAAAGAAAGAAAGATCCCCCATGCTGTGATAGAGCTTAGTACTTATTTTGAAAATCAAACTAAACATGGAACTAACATACCCAGAAGCAGTGTTTTTCTAATGCTGGGACAGGGTATAGAAAATACCTCTTTCTGTCAGAGTTTATTTTAAGTCATTTATAGGAAAACATATATCCCACCCTTGAAATGTTCTCATGCTATTCAAGGGAGCTGAGAACCAGTCTTTGCATACACAGGGAAAAATATAATGAAAAGTGCAAAAATATATTAAAAATAAAGCTATGGCAGGTGCAATGTTAAATAAAACTTAGAAAGCAAACACCTGTTTCTTAGATGGCAAAATATATGGGAAGGTGGGTGATAAATTAGCTTCCTGGGGCAAAATAAAATGTGCCATTAAACTGGCGATTCCCAAACTGTGTTTTGGGAATGGCTCCCAGATGTTTTGGACTTTGGCTCCCAGAATTCCTGATTGTTGACCAAGATGGTTGGAGCTTTTGGGAGTCGAAGTCCAAAACACTTGGAGGACTAAAGTCTGGGAAACCATGGCTACTGGAAAAACCCTTTCTTCTCTTCCCATCAGTTGTGCATCCATCACAGTTAGGAGAAAGAGAAGGACTTCTTGGTTGATCTTAGGACATGGGTAGGATGGCATTGAAAGAAGTGGTTGCATTTGCCGACCATTAATAAAGGAAATGAAAGTGTTTTAAAAGAGGTTCAAATAACATGGGCTTCTTCAGGCGGTTTAAATGGTAGGGGGCTTTTGCTGAGAGAAAGGAGGTCATGCACATGGTTGGGGTTCAGGGCTCTGTTGCTGTTCCCTCAATCTCTGGAGCTCACAAACAGGAGCTCGTGAAATGGTGTTTTGCGTGGGACTGGTGCAAGAGGTAGAATATGGTAAGTGACTTTTGCCCTTCCCTTTCCCTGAGGCTGAGAGAGTGTGACTTGCCCAAGGTCACCCAGTGGGTTTCATGGTCAAGTGGAGATTTTGAAACCTGGTCTCCAGAGTCATAGTCCAACACGCAAACATATCGAGTCAGGGTGACCAGATGTCCTAACTGCAAAATATAGGACATTCAAGAAAAATGTAGGGTATTACACAGTAAAAGTTAAAAAACACAAATATAAATGTACATTCATTCTATATGGCTCATTGACAGCTATATTACATACACTGTGTTTTATTATGTACTCAATCTGTATTTTTTTGATGAACTTATCTTCATTAAAATGCCTTGTTGGCTTGCAATATACTTATAGAACTCTAAGCAAGACAAATGCTTAAAATGATACTTTACTATCAATGAAGCCTTGACTGAATTTACATTTAAATTATTCCTTTCATTTGTCAATCGTGCTGAAATTAAGGGGAAAATACCCATTCAACATTTGCATTGTTTTCCCCAAGCAGTCCATTCCCTGAGTATTGGGGGCAGGGGCAAGTCTTGTCTGCTGCTTCTCCTAAGAAAAAAAGGACTTTAGAAGAATCCATCCTATCTTCCCTATTTGCAACAAAGACAGGCTGCCAGGTACATGCATTTTTTTCAAAGGGAAACAGCAAACTGTGCTGTTATTCAATATGCTTTGTTGCTGTTGTTGTTGTGTGCCTTCAAGTCATTTCCAACTCATGGTGACCCTAAGACGAAACTATCATCGGGTTTTCTTGGCAAGATTTGTACAGAGTAGTTTTGCCTTCCTCTTCCCCTGAGGCTGAGAGAGTGTGACTTGCCCAAGGTCACCCAGTGGGTTTCATGGTCAAGTGGAGATTTGAACTCTGGTCTCCAGAGTCATAGTCCAACACTCAAACACTATGCCACACTGGTTCTTGTGTTCAAATGGAGGATATTTTGGAATTCCCGGAGGCCAAAAGGTTGAAATGTAGGGCATGTCCTGGAAAAGGAGGATATCTGATCACCCTGGTTTGAGTGGCTGTTTGGCTGAATTGTTTGGAAGCTAGTTGATGTGTTTTTGTGTGTTTGAGGCCATGTGCTTGCCTGAGCACATTGACTAAAGTGGAGGGGACTAGTGCTGAGAGTAAC